CAGTGGAGGCTCGTGCTGAGGTGCGATGATGCGACCGTATTCCCTAAGTACATTTTAAAATAAAATGAACATCTCAAATATACATCTTATAGTAATTAAATAGAGATCATGATGGTCTATATTTCTTTCGAAACAATTTAAATGGTTCATAATTGTATTGTAAAATAATAATATTTGAAGAAAAATATCATCTTAATCCGGCAATTTTAGGGTTACCAGATTATATTTTTCCAAACCCGGGACATTTTGAATGGATAAATATTATACTTATATAATATTATAAATATAATATATTTTTTTTTTTTAATGAATTACGTATAGAAGCAATATAATAATAATAATAATCATAATAATTCATATTCTTAGTCTTCGGATCTTTTGGGGTCCAGAGTTTCTTCTGTTGATTTGACTACATATTTGACTGATCCATAAACTTGTTTTAAAAAAGACTTGTTTCCCAAACTTTGGCCGTAAAATTCTTCATAAGATGTATTATTGAAGCACGTTTTTATAATATACCATTTTTATATCTAGTTATTATCTTGAATTTGTCCATGTGCTGTTCATCAGTGCATTTGAACCCGACAAAAAAAAATTTAATTCAACAACTTTTAATGGCTTAGTAAATGCATTATTGTTATCAGTAAATATTTTGAAAATATATATCCATTTATTTTCTATTTTTTGACAATGCCACTCGTCATTTTGTTGATTAATTTTATCAAACATTTTGAATTGTTCGAAAAACATTTATTCATGTAAATTAAGATTGTTTGGCATTATAGCATTTATTCACCCATTGGTGACACCTACGAACTTTTGTTGGATTTGCGATCACTTAAGTAAATCGCGATTCCAATTAAGTTTGGTCTGCAATCCGACAATTACGAGTATTTCAATGCAATAAAGATAATCTAAAAATTAAAGTGCCTGTAGACTGTAACAGTGTAACAAGGTCACGTACTCACGTATATACTGTAATGGTACTATGGTGCGGCGGTCCGAAGCGCACACAAATGTGTGTGTGTGGGTTATATTATCGTATTAAGATTATATTGAGATCAGCCGAGGTGGTAGCGGTGGGACTATAATATTATTTTAATACGATAATTCTCATAGCACATTTTCGGCGGCTACCTATGTGTTATTGCTGCAGTTTTCCTGGGGTACGTGACAAAAAAATGAGTCATGGCGGAAAAAGTGAAATTTAATGTAACTGAAATATTTAATAATTTAATAATTGTGTACTTACAATATATAGTCTGCAATTTAATGCTGTTAATGCGAAAATATTTTATCGTTATAATATGAACATTGTTGGATGTAGATAATTTAAGTAGATAATTTTTAGACAATTTGTAGAGACTCGTTACATCACTGTATTACAGATAAGCCATATAAGGTAAATACATGTACGGTTAATAATCGTCAACTATTCAGATTTTTTTTTTTTTTTTTTAATTTGTTTAAAACTATTCAGTTAATATATGATATTTGGACGTGGTACGTGTACATATATTTTAACTATTAGTCAGTTGCTTGATTTCAAAGTGTCCGTGAATATTAAATCATGAATCAATGGTTAAAAACTGTTACCGTTAGTAAAAGGAAAACTTATGAATCAGTCACTTATATGCGAAACCCTCAAGACATGTCGTCATTGAGTACTAATTTTTCCGAAGAAAATCTTAAGAAGAAATTACCACAGGTTAGTGTTAGGTTATGTTAGGTTAGGTTAGATTTAGGTTAAATAATTAAGAATATAAATTACTAATATATCATTATAATATGATAATAAATTCAATAATATGTCAATTTGATCACGGATATGAATCTTTGTTTATCTTCTTATATCATAACATTTTTGGTTGTGGAACAAAAAGTGGTATTATCTTCCACGGATATTGTTTCGATTATAGACATTTACAACCATAACTGAGGTATTTATCAGATAATGTAATGTAATTTAAAGTAACCTTTTTTTTACCACGTATTTAGTAGTTAGTCATTTTTTGGTGCATTTATGCATATTGTATATTTTTGTATTTATTAGAGCTATATAAGTCCTTAATAATTTTACTTGCCTATTTTTCTTTTTACAACGTAATATCTGTTACTTTTTGTTGTGCATAGGTATTTAGTCATTTTTTTGTGCACAAATGCATGCAATTTGTGTATTTTATAGAGCTAGAAGGCCCTAATCCAAATAATAATCATAATAATTGACAATATCTGTTTCAATATTTTTAACTTGCAAATATTGGTCGAAATATATTTTTGTAAGTTGAAAACATGGTTAAGATTAAGAATAGGCCAGCATAGACTAACAGGTTTGGCTTTGCTGCATGTGCATACAAATTATTGTATCTATTGATGAAACAATCAAACAATTTGCCAATATGAAAAAAAGAAACTTGGAATTTGTTATTTGACTACTTATCAAACTTATGTTTTCTACTTAGATATTTGTTAAATTAAGTTACCTATCTTAATTGTTTTTTAAAGTTTTTAAAAAATAATTAATAGTTATTTTTACTACTATGATTATTTGTTTTTTTTTATACAGGATTCAGACTGAAGGTACAATTTTAATAGAACTATTTGTGTTGCTATTATTATTAATGCTTATTTTATATGCAATAGATTTTAAATATATTTATTAAATGAATATTCAATTCAATTTGGCACTTGTATTTTTATTTATTCACTTGAATGAACAAAAGGAACATTAGCTGTAGGTAATGAATCAAGGGCATACCCGGGAATTTTTTTAGGGGAGAGTTTCAAATTTGTATTTTATCTGTTCTCTTATTATAATTATAGTTTAATTCAATACCAACAAATCACTGTTAATGACTATAGTAATAGTCATAATAGTTATATACACATCACACATATTTTGCTCAAAGGTCGATTATAATAGGTAGGTACTATAATTTGAAATCAATTTTTATTTAGTAGTAAAATGTTATAAAAAAATACATTATTTAATTAACAATAATAAATAATATTAAAAAATCAGTATAAATTAAACATGGTTTATATATTATAGGTATATTATATAATCTATAAACTTTGTATATTGAAGATAATGGGAAATTAATATACACTACATACTATTTACTATTAAACCATTGAGTATGTAGAATTTTCAATGGAGGGGTCCGGACCCGAACCCCCAAATGACACCACTGGTATGACTCATTATGTGTAATTGTCAAATTTGAGGGTTTACAACAAAAAAAATACAGATACTGTAGTGACACACGTGAGATATGGAAAAAGATCCGAGTGAAAATCCTTTTCTTTAAATTTAAAATACAGTATTATTCAAAATGATTCATCCGATTTCAAGTTATTTTCTGCAAATATGTCGACCGAACAACAGAAAGCGTTTTGCGTATTGCGATTTCAAAGTGTGAATCGGTAATAACCAGGGTTCGGGACTTGTTGCATTTGCATATTCTTTAATAATGACTGCAGAATAGTCTAAGTAAGATATAAATTTGTTTCAAGACTTAACGAATTGAAATACAAGAATTTTAATTGCATATTTTTGCATATCTTGCTGTTTTCTAGGCAAAATGCATATTTGACAAATTTTGGCAATTACATTTTTTTTATAGCATATTTACGCAGTTTTGTTTCATGTTCGGTAAATTTATTTTAAAGATGAATATTATTTGTTTATTTGTTATGCGTCGGTTAATATACCTATTCATAGAACAAATCTTCGCATAATTTGCATCACGAAACACGATAACTAGGGATATACCTATACTTTATATTGTTTTGGAGTATAGCTCAGTTTATTTATAAATATGAGATAATTACAACATTATCTGGACGTGGCATTTAGAGAAATACCTAATAAATTGTTTCTGTGTATACTATTGTTAAATTGTAAATCGTTTTGAGTAAGTAAATGAAAATACGTATTCACCATTCAGTATTTCAGTTTGTTTTTGTGCGCCGTGGCTTTTATACGTTGTTATTCTCTTGTAGTTATTTTATAGTTCTCGTAATTATTTTAAAGATGCCGAAAATAACGAAAAATTCGCGTATTAAACAATATATATCCGAGTTTGGGGAAAATGTTTTTTTAAGTGATGGTAAAATTTTGTTTTGTAAATTTTGTGAAACAAAAATAAATACAGATACACGATGTTTGGTTACTCAACATTTGAAGACCGAAAAACATAAATCAGCTGTAAAACGTAAGCAAGATCAGATGAAAAATAAATCACAACAACTAGTTTTTACTGCTATGACTTCTAAAAAAAGTTCTTTTAAACACGATTTGTGTACTTGCTCTCCGCTAATATTCCTTTAAATAAATTAAACAATCCTAAATTCAGAGAATTCTTGTCAAAATACACGGGAAAAGACATTCCATTTGAGTCAACTTTGCGAAAAGGTTACGTCGACGATGTTTTCAATCAAACAATAAATAAAATTAGAATGTATGTTGATCGAAAAAAAATTTGGGTAAGCATTGACGAAACCACGGATGTAACTGGTAGATTTGTAGCTAACGTTATTATCGGTACACTCGAAGAAAATGGGCCTGGTCAAATATTTTTGTTAAACGTGGAAGAGCTAAAAAAAGTAAATCATTCAACAATTTTTAAATTGTTCGATAAGTCAATGAATATTTTATGGCCTGACGGTGTTAAACATGACGATGTTCTGTTATTCTTGTCTGACGCTGCCCCATATATGATTAAGTCTGCAAAATCAATAAAAACATTGTATTCGAAAATGATACATACCACATGTCTTGCTTACGGATTACACAGAGTGGCTGAAACCGTTCGTATTCTAAATCCCGAAGTCGATAAAATTATTGCTAGCGTAAAAAAAACCTTTATAAAAGCTCCATCTCACGTTTAAATTTTCAAAGATATTGCTCCATTATTATCACTGCCACCTGAACCAGTATTAACGAGGTGGGGAACGTGGATTCAAACTGCTCTTTATTATTGCGAACATTTTGAAATTATAAAGTCGATGGTAAACTCATTGAACAAAGATGATGCAATATCTATAAAGACAGCACAAAAATACATCGAAAAACAACATATTCAAACTCAACTTGTATTTATAAAATCCAACTTTTCATTTTTACCAAACGCAATGAAGAGTCTTGAAGAACAAAACATGACACTTGCCAGTTCTATTTCGATAGTGAGGGACGCAAAAATAAAATTAACTCAAATAGGTGGAGCTCAAGGAAAAACGGTTAAAACAAAAGTAGAAACTGTGTTGGAGAAAAATGAGGGATACAAATTAATGGTTAAAATTTCAAATATTTTATCTGGAGACCAGGAAAGTTTTGAGGGTTTACCTAAAGATTTAACATTAAATGACTTGGTATATTTTAAATATGCCCCGATTACATCAGTGGATGTGGAACGGTCGTTTTCAATTTATAAAAATATGCTAACCAACAATCGCCGTACATTTAAATTTGATAATATCAGAAAATGTCTTATTGTACAGTCAAACTTTACAGGTAATCAATTAATTATTTTATATTTAAAAATAATTTAAATATTATATTAAATACTAAACTTTTTCCTTTTCGCTGTAGGAGAAGACGAAGAAAATGAAACCAACCATACACAGTAAAATAAACTAAATTAAAGAATTGTCTACATTAAAAATTTAATAAATTACTTTTTTTTAATTGTTAATAAAAAAAATTTCAGTTGCATATATATTTTTACGCATATTTTAGTTATTTTTAGTGCATATGTGCATGCATATTTCCTACAATTTATATGCAACAAGTCCCGAACCCTAGTAATAACCGTGCAACGCGATTTTCGTCGTCGTTACGAGATCGATGCACCGTTTTCTCAGAGCATAAGTCGATGGTATAAGCAGTTTTAAGAAACTGGGTGTTTGTGCAAAGGAAAAAGCACAGGCCAACCTCATGTATCCGTGTATCTCTTGGAATCAATTATAAAATATGTGCTACAAGAAAATGAGATTGACTACCGGCTAGATATTGTTCGTGTGACCAAAAAGAGCTCATATAGAACATCTATAAGTAAAATAAATTAAACTTGACATACTTCTCTTTTATTTTATGTATAACATATTTTTCTAAGACTAAAAATAAAATTATGTAAGCATTTAAAATCGGATGAACCGTTTTGAATAACCCTGTAATATGCATTGAAAATAAATGAAAATAATTATCTTGAAAACTTGTGTTTGTATTTCATTATTATTTTATACATAATAATAATAATAATAAAAATAATATTAATTAAAAAAATAATTTAAAATAAATTATCATCCCGTTTGTGGGCACATACATAGTGCAGTAGGTAATATTAATTAAATGTTTTATAAATAATTCAAAAATATGGTAGTGATAATATAAAGTAACATGAAAATAAATCTTACAATACTTACTATATTAATTGCGTTTATATATAAGTGGTTAATATTAATATAACGTATACAAATGTATAGGTAGGTTATTAAATATGTAAAAGTAAATAATATTTTTAATATAAAGAATTAACTGTGTTTTACAAATAAATAAGGTATCTAGTATTCTGGATATGTATTATATATTTGATTAACATTGATTTTTAATTTTTTCGTCGTGTGACCTTCGATAAAAAATTCAAGTTCCAGAAAGTGTAAAGGTTTAAAATATAATATAATATTGATAGTAAAAACATAAATCTTTAGTAAACTTTATGCTAAATTTGAATTTTATTTGGAAAATAATAACGTATAATAATAAATAATATATCATATTTCTTATACAAAAAGCTTTAGTAGATTGTGAGCGCTAAAAAAAATAAATCTGTTTTATGTATAGAAACTTAAGCGTAAAAATAAGTACATTTGAATGAAAATTATAAATTTTTATTGCTTAAATTATTTTACAACATTTTATAGCAGTTACTATTGATATGTTCGGGAAAATGATGATTACGTACCGTTTACACGTTATTTCTTGTCAAAACTGAATTTAATTATTCAAACATATTGTATAATTAAATTATAACAGATATTTGTATATAACCGCCTTTTAAATTTTTCAAATCCTCTTAAATCTTTGTCTTATCGTTTTTATAGTTATTGTTAAAGTTAAAATAGTCAAATTGCACTTTGATATTTTCATGAGACATGATTTATATGTATTGTATAACAATATTATAACATCTCTAATAGATGTGAATTGTAGGTGTCTACTAAAAATTACAAAATCTTTATTCAACTATAAAAAGCTGAGCCAATTGTTCCTCAGGTTACAATATATCAAAATAGTATCATTAAATAAGTATATTTTATGGGATAAATTATTGATTGACTATTGTATAGTGTTAATTTTTGATTGTTCAATTGGTTAAAAAATAATGTTTTTCTCTGATTTATTTGAAATTTGATTACACTAAATTTATATTGTATAAGAAATATGATCTGAGTTATTTTTATTTGTATTACACGCTCACTAAAATTTGGATTTAGTTTTGAAAAGCTGTCGACTAACTTAAAGCACTTAAAGACTTGAAACATGTAATTTTATACCAAAATATGAGCCTTATTAAATAAAACTAATAAAAAAGTTATGTGAGTTATAACATTTGTATATACTGTAGCATTGAAGATATTTTATCAAATATTATAGTAAATATTTTTTAAAAAACGTACATTGGTAGATTATTATTTATTCTGAGTTATTATGTTAAATAAATTTAGCCAAATGTTGTTTCATTCATCGAATGAAATATAAGTTTGAAATGTTGCGTGATTATTATGATTTAAACTTATTTAAACTAGTAGTTTTGAATATTGTTGTATATACTATGTGTACAGTACCTACATTGTAATACAGTTATGTATATAATATTAAATGATTCTTCCGTATTATAATTTATAATTATATTATACCATTTGGTATTTATTATTAAAAAGATAAATATTTTGGATAGTATAAAATATTATTAATGAAACTCAGTTAAAAAATAATATGTTTATGTTTATTCATGTATGTAATAATTTAGCTTAATAATTATTTCAAAATATAGGGATTTAGTTAGTTTTAAAATATCTAAATAAATAATTTGTTCAAATATTGGAATATAAATTGGAAAATAAATAACGTTTCCGTGATACAGTTGTAGAAAAAAGTAAACAGTTAATCGTATTATTATTATACAAATAAAGTAATATTTTGAATTTTATTTATGTGTTTCAAATTACTCTCATATTAATGAAAATTATGAGTGATGTACTAAGAGAATGGCTCATTCATCAATTAGGTGTGGAACTTCATTCTCTTCATCCTAATAATGTATGTTCTAAGTTTCAAAATGGAGTGTTCATTGGAAAATTACTTCAAAACTATAATATTGTGGATTCAAATGATTTTTCTCTGTTGATCAATCAAGAAGATGAGGAGATTAAAATATCCAATTTTAGATACCTTAAAACATGGCTAAACATGATAAATATTTTGTTAGATGATGATACTGTTAATGGAATAATTACTGGACGAAGATCAGTCATTTTTGGATTTCTGTATAAATTGTGTTTTATCCTTGAGGATCCTAATAATCTAAATTTAAACGAACACGTTAAAAAAATATGTATATCGTTCGGAAACGTTGATATTTCAGATAATTCAATATCTAAAAAGGCTATTTTTAATGTAACTCATGGAAAACCTTATAATCATGTTGATAATATTAATGGGAAATCGCCAAAAATATCCATCATAAACGTAAAAACCTTGTATGATGAGATAAATGAATTTGAAGGCAGCTTACCAATGAAACTGGCTTGTTGGAACACCAGAGGAGATCGATCTTGTGCTAGGTATCTAATAAATATTTATTACTTAAATTATTACATATTTGGATTTTAACTTAATATGCCTGTATATATTTGTGCACTAAATTTAATTTATTTTAATACAAGTGTTATAGAAATGTTTTTCGTGGTTTATGATCAGTGTTATGCAAAAATAACAAAATATTTATCTAGATGAAGATAAAACATAATTAGATACAATTTATCTATATAATGATAAAAAATAAAACACTATTTATCTGGTTAAAAAAAAAAGATAACATTTTTTTAATTTTATTAATTAATTTATAATTTTTTTTTTATAAATTTATACTTTAAACAATTAAATTAAATTAAAATTTACTTAAATTTGATCTAATAACTAGGTACCTCTTGTATAAATAATGAACAAAAATATTTATATTATGTACATTTATGTATGGGAAATAAGTAATAATTAATGAGTACTTAGTTTTAAAAAAAATATATTCTTTGTAGGTATATTATAATTTTCTAAAACAATTTATTACAATTTATATAATATCTACTATGGAGTAATATTAATGATTTAAAAATTAAAATGTTTATTCAACCAATATCTGTATTATTTAATTCTATTTCTTAGGAATCAAATATTGTAAGAGTCACTAGAAAATATAAATGGGCTAATTTATTTATAGGGGCCATAATTTTAAAAAAAAGTATTTTTATAATAATATGTCAATTGATATTTATTAGTTAAATAAGAAAATATTTGTTTTTGGGAACCCTTGGCTATAGCTCCTTCCCCCTCCCCTTAATCCGGCTCTGCCTATACGTAAAATTTAAATAATAGAACTAAACATATATTGCTTTTAAACAACTTTTGAAATAATAGTAATAAACTATAAAGTTAACAAATTAATAATATTATTAAAGTTCTCATTAATTTTTATTAGTTTTTAACTTCCAAGTTTAATTTTTTTTGAATAAATATACTCGTATTTATTTATCTAGATAAATTATGATAGATAACTCAATAACTCATTTAAGATAATTCATCAGATAACTGATTTTGTTTATTATTTACATAACATAAAAGATAATTAATTATTTATCTAGATAATGCTCAACACTGTTTATGATAATCTTATTTTTTATAAATTAAAATCCATAATATTTTATTCTAAATGTATAATTTGGTATATTTCATTATTATTTCACATTTGCCTTTAAAATGCTGTGATTATTTAAATAATGGAAGTACTCGTAGCAATTTTCAATGTACTCGATATTTGTTACTTCGATTATTAAGTTCAGAACACATGGTACTGCTAACTCCTAAGTAATAATGACTTAGAATTGGGAACATTTATAAGATGATGAAATAACGATTTTCACATATATATATAAATAAGTTTTTATTTTATTCAGTTATCTCTATTTTTTTCGTAGATACCGTAATATTATTGCTAGAAAAAATAGCAAATCATATTCAAAGATTAAGCCTATTTAAATGTACTCTTTTTACGTAATTGGCTAAACGATCGCTTTTAATATAATATTCAGTGAAATAAAAGCTTTTTGTAAATATTTAATATTTTTATCGTTAATAGTTTTACTTTAGTATGATTATACAAACGTTTTAAATCTAAATTTTTAAATTAATATTGTTTTTAATATGTATTTCAATTAATACGATTTGATTTGACTTTAAAAGTATTTTATGATATTTTTTAAAAAGATATTTGTCCAATCTCAAAGAACGGAAACAACATTCAAAAATGTATGATTCTTGGAGAAAGGAAATAACAAATAAATATCTACAGGACAGCTTTGATGAAAAAAATCGGCATAACCAATCTGTCCTCAGACACAAATCAATGCCAGATAAACTTTATCGCGTGTCTGATTGTGAAAAGAAAATGTTAGAGAAAGTTAATAACGCTAAATTTAAAACGAAAAAAAGTAATATAATTGCCGTTAAACATAATGTTGAATTCATCAAAAATTCTACTGGTGACGAAAGACAAAGTCGAATAATAAGTGAAGAAGTCAAATTAAATATGAAAGAAGAAGTGATATATAAATGTTAATTATACTTAAATGTTTTAATTTCAAATTAATTTTATTTTATTTCTAGTTAATAAAAAGGAATAATTATCTAAGTACAATTGAATTAAAAAACACAATAAAAAGTGTAGTTTGTGGATTAATCGATATAAGCGTTAGATGTAGTGCTTATCAAAAAACAAATCGTTGTAATATCCCTAAATATATATGGAATGATTGGATGGAAATGTTTGTTAAAGAAAGACCTTTTTATAATTTACCTGTAGACAATAGGCTTGGTCTATTATTAGACCCTCAACATTTAACTGATAATAAACTTTATACCGACGAAGAGTTAAAAAACCAGTCAATACTGAATCGAAGAGATATTTTGCAATATTTGAAAGGCGTGGAACAATATGATGTGCTTGAACAAGAATTCAACATACAATCAAATGAGTCTCCAGACGTTTCTCGAGTTCTTGGGTTTATGGTCTACGACGTTTTTACTTCTCTTTATGCTTTACCACCATCACCGGTTAACATAGATAATGCAATATTCAGACCTGTTATGGGTATTTTTGATTATAAAATCGAATGCACGTGGAAACAAGAAATTTGTGATGCACTAATTAAACATGATATACTTCCCGTACTACCAGAAATAGCATTACAGTATTGCTTATGCGATTACTATCGGGAAACTGACAGTAACGAGCTCATACAAATATTGGATAACTCCGGTAAAAATCAGTATTTTTTATAATTATCGAATTGATGTAATATCATACGTAGACTCAAACAGTGTAACATATCTAAAACGGAATTAAGATTTTACGGAAACTTGTTTTTGGAGTATTATTTTGGTCCTCAGTAGTTTTGTCTTAAGTTGCAATTCCTTAGGACGCGTCTATAAACGTGCGGTCGAAAATCGACTTATTGACGAATCCTCTTTAATACAAAATGTGCCGCAAAAGATGTGTGGCTAGGTTTTATTTTTACTAGTTCGATTTGTATAATATTTTATTTGGTTCTACCATTTACACGTGTATATCTGACCTGTTTGCTTTTGTTTAGTATTTTTGTAGTGAATAGTGAATAATTTTACTCATAATATTTTATGAAGCCAGAAGAATAAATCCTCATCAAACTACTTCATTTAGAAAACAATTTTTTGGTGAATTCAAGTTGATTTACTATAAAAAAATGAATTTACATAAATAAAATACCTATATGATATGTTTCTTGCTGGAAAAATTGAAGAATTTTATAGCATTTTCATTGAAAAACAATTGTTTAAAGATGAACGAAAATGTAGAGAATTTTTAGATCAAGTAATGATTAATTCACGTTATTGAAAAACAATTAAAGTCAATCAATGTCAATCAGATTGCGGGTCGTGCATTTTGACCGCCTCCTGAGCGGTACTCGTTGTGAGTCTTTAGAAGCATATGACTGCCTAGTGTGCTAGTCTGTGATAGTGTGTCGTCTAGGGCAGTGTTTCCCAATTTCTTTTACCTGCAGAACCTTTGCAGGAGCTTGAACGTTTTGTGGAACCCCAATATTTTTTCTATAATTTTAATACAGGCAAATGTTTTGTACATTTAAATGAGTGGGTTATCGGACACTTCCGGCACAAGAGTGTCATTAATATATAAAAAAAAAAAGACGGCTTTAACATTTTATTTTGTTTATTACTATTACAATATTATAAATGTAATATTAAAGCTTAAAATTTAATATTTGTCTCTCATTACCTCTAAGATAGATTCAATGAGAAGATTGGAATATTTTCATAGTTTTTTTTCATAACTGTTTTTAAATCTGGAGTTATTCCTGAAAGTGAGATTCGTAAGTCCGAAGCCGCGTTCAGTTGATTTCGAAACTAATTCTTTGTCTTTGTATACGCTGAAAAGCTACAAACTAGGCACCTCATATCGGGAAATGTGTCAATTCCAGTTCTATGTTGAGATCTATGTTCAAATCAAAATATTGCTAATTAATTTATATTTTCTTAAATTTCTCACAGAAGCTCACGGAACCCTTAGGTTCCGCGGAACACCAGTTGGGAAACACTGGTCTAGGGAATCAGTTATATTAAATAACAGATAAAACAGTACTGGTGCGACCGAAATTTCGGCTGAACCGCGGTAGTTTACTGGGTAACAAATGCGTTCTAAGGAATCGCACCTTTAGTTTCACTGTATATTTTCTCTAGTGAACAATACATTTAAATCTATGACATACATAATTCTAAAATAAATACTATTACAATATTACTAAACATTTACGGTCTGTTACTGATAGTTATTAAATTTTTACAAAACCAATTGTATTTTAAATTTAACACCATTGTTTGGTTTAAATTAAATTATTATTATGCTTTAAAGGATCCATGATATATTTTAATATTGCAGTGTTGAATATTATTAATACTATACTGCTCTAGGTGTGATATTATATTGTACGCAATTTTATTTCGTTTGAAATTACTTATTTTCTTGTCGATTAAGATATTATTCTATTTGTGTTGACAAATAATCGAGGAAAGAAAATCATATTTATTATTCTTAGCACATTTTTTCGTTCAAATATAATATAACCGATTAAATAAATAACTATGACTAAATCTATGACTAAATTATAAAACTAATATAATAAATATATTATAAATGTAATATATGTAACAATAAAATGTTTTTCTACTATATAATGGAACAGAATATGGCAAAACGAAAACTGTGAGAGAAAATGTTAGTACAATCAATGGATTAGGACAGTCAAAACAAACACAAACACTACAATGTATTAATACAAGTTATGAATCTGAACGTATAATATGTGGAAGAAATGCATTTATTAATATTTACAGAGGTAAACCATTACCAAATTATTTGTTGATTGACTGTGTGCTATGTTATATCAAAGAAAACAACATGCGTGGAGGTTGGGTAATACTAGGATTTTCGCGAGAAGAAATAATGATACTCGAAGAAAGATTAGCTAAAAATAAGCATTTTCCACCTTTTGGTTCGTATATAAAAAACCAAAATCCAACAATATTGGTCTCATTTGAAAAACCAAATTATGAAGATAAAGGAAAATATTCATCGTCTCTTACTAGTTATTTAAAAGTAAAACTTCTTAGATAATATTTAAAAAAAATTATCATAAAACTTTTTTTTAGATTGAATCACATAAAAGTGTAATATTTGATGATGAGTGGGATGAGGTGTATAAGTATTATAGATCTCAAAATATATTAACATTACTAAAAAGTACAGATAAGAATTTATTCCTTGATAACCTTAATATTGAATTGTTTTGTAACGTTTTGACTGGTCAAATTGTAAATTGGTTTGAAACAACAAATTGGTTAAATTGTACTTATGATACCAATCAAAAAGTTTATACATCGTTAATTAGTGATTTGTGTACATCGGAAACAAAAGAAATTACGTTTGATAGAGAAAAATTGCATAAAAAATCAGAATTTGATTCCATGGATTCATCTACTAGTAATGACAAAATGCTTCCAAATGTATTATCTAGTTTATCTCTAAATGAACAAATTTCAATTGTTGAAATTACCTCAAAATTATTCAATGTCCAACTCAATAAAAACGTTGGAACAATATTGGCAGCATTTTGGATGTCATTGGAAAATGGATTTGTTGAAAACATGGAGAGATGCTTTTTTTATAGAAGGATACTTATGTATGAAAAAGTGCCCTTCATAATTACGGTAGATAATTATTTTGATAAAATGCTTTACAAACCAAATTCGGAAAAAATTGATCTTGTTAAACGTTTGCAATATAATTTGATTAATATACCCAAAGATACAATGACAATATCTGATCCTAACAGATATCTGCTTAGGACTTTGTTGGATGAAAAGTTAATTTTAATACAAATGATAAACCAAAAAATAGAAAAATGTTTACATTTTATAGAAGACAAAACTATTACAAATTGGCTTGAAAAACAAATCAACTCAATATTTAATATATATATGTGTATGTTACAAGTTGAGGTTTGTATTTACTTATATGTTTATCAACTATTTGAGTATTTTAATTAAATTCAATTAAATTAAATTAGGTTGATCGTATTGTGAATACAATACTTTTTATAAATTTATATATGTCAAAGCTATATAATCAAATTGTACCACTGTCAATAATTCCAAAATTTATCAATGTCTCTTCATTGAAAAAGATTCTAAAAAAAGATCAAACATCTAATATTAGAGTAAATGTCACACAAAATGTTACAAGTGTTGATGAAAATTACAATATGTTTAAGTCTACTATAAATGCAGTTGCCGACAAGATAAAACTTATATTTTCTACAATATTAAAATGGTTAGAAAAAGTTAAGCAAGCCCTAAACTCAGAATCCATAGAAAAAGATACAACATACTTAAAAGTATGGACATTTTTAATAAAAATGGAGGATCGAAAATCCACTAATCAATTTAAAATAATACTAGATCAGTTCACTACAGATATTAAGGTAAATTTTTAAAAATTTATTGGTTGCATTTAATAGTAGTTTATGGTATATTAAATATGTTTTTAATTTGATAATAGGAAACAGATAATTATTTAGTTCAGTACCGACTCGATGCGGTTCATAAAATAAATGATCGTTTACAGCACGAAGTTGCTGGAGTTGAACTTATATGTAATTTATTTGAAACTGCTTTAAAAGAAAAATGTTTTGTTCGTCATGAAATTTTATTCATTGATGACCATTTTTATTTAAATCCGGAAAATGTTGTATATTCTAATATTCCTTTGCCACGACCTTTTCCGTTACTAGTAGAAGAATATCCAGGCGTTTTATCTGTCAATAATTTAGAAACAATTACACGTCAACTAGCTAAAATTTGTCCAAATAGACGTATTTCAATTGTTGCCTTTTCTAATTGGCTAATGAACTATACAAAATATAATATACCTACAACTGCGTAAGTATTGAATAAAAATAAGAATTGGTGGTGTGAAGTTATTAATGGATTTAATTGGACTAAAACAAAATATTTAGCCTAGCCACCTATGCCTTTGCAAAAAAACTTAATTAAAATTTATAAAAAAGTGACCACCTTTACGATTCATCAGCCGTTCAGCATAAACATTGATTTCGGCATCCCTGAAAATAAGATAAGTAGTGTAACTAACCTGTGTAATTTATAGGTGGCTTAATACAACTACTGATATTTTACGTATGATGTTTGGATGTAATGTATACTTTATTGACTGGTCAGATTTTGTAGTACGTTGTTTAGAACTTCCTTATCCTAGCATTAACGATTTGTTAGATCTTAAAAATCAATATGCAAATTTGGAAAATAAAAATAAAAATAATATTCATTCAAATCATACAAAAGGTAAATGATAAAAATAATATACGAGTATATTACATATACGTTCATTGATCGTTGCCTTAATTATATTTATCCGTTTCCAGGTACTATAGACAAATATGAGTATGATTCTGTTTTATTATGGTACCAGAAAATGTTACCATCAAATCCTTCAGTTTGTCTTCGATACATAAAAATTAAAGAACTATTGTTTACAATGTTTTCAATTGGTGGAAAATTAGATTATGTAATAATGCTTCTAACCTTGTGTAAAGATGACAGTTCAGCGATGGGTTTAATAAAAGCTATCAGTTTAGTTATGGATCAAAATATTATGTTTAATCAGGATGATGTTAGTCATATAAATAAACAACATGATATTGAACTACTTATTGAAACGTTATATAAGACTTTAATGATTTGTCTCAAAAATTATTTGGTAAATAATGGCTAACTGATTTTTACGGTGTCAGCAAAAATATATATATACATTTTTAAATAAGGATGATGATTTCAGACTCCAGATAAAAATGACTTGGATGATTTGATGTATTCAATATTAAATATACACTGTACCTTGCGTAAAAGTGATGGTGATACATTGTCTATAATGGAGCTAATTAAAAATGATGATTTCAAGAAGCTCTCTGATATTGGATTTAGATTTAATTCGCGTTCTGGTTTTAGCATTGTGAACAATCTTAAATAATCAAATTATCAATACCCTTTAAAGGAAATAAATAAATTTTGTAAAATAATAAATTTATTGGTATACCTACATATTTTATTAGTTAAAAAGTGTTGAATTAATTTGAATTGTATGTTTTAGTATATTATATAATTTAATATACATAATTAAATATAATATTTAATATACAAAAACCAGACAGTAAACGTAGATGACTTAAATGTTACTACTGCCAGAGCATAAGATTTATAGTTTAGAGGTTAAAAATAAATAGGTGCTCAAAATTGTATTGATCAAGAGGTTCCTAAATATCTATGTGTGCGTATAAGTATTGTTTTGTCGTATAACACCAATTTTTTTTTTTTTTTTTTGGTTGTAAGTTATATTTTGTAATCATATAATTTGTAAAAAATAAATATTTTGCTATTGTCAAAGTAATTCAAATTCTTATTTTTAAGATATTTAATTCTGTAATTGATTGAATATTTATAATGATCGGCAAAATGGACGGTTTACCCAGTTATTAATGTATATTGTTGTATTTTAAAAGTAGTATTTTTTTCCCTGGTATTAATATAAGTTTATGGATGAATCCCAAGTAATTGAATGCATATTTTCCATTTAATATTTTATTTAAATTTTTGTGTTATAAATATTGTATTTATTTTGATATATTAAATAACTCAACATGAATCCCTTGTATTACCGGTTGAATTATATTAAATTTTTGAATCTTTTTTTCTTGTGTCTTTAAATCAACTATTTCGTATTTTTAATTATATAAAAAAATTCTTGAATGCTATATTACTGCACCTACCTCGAATATCTGTTCAGTACACGAGGGAGGGTTATAAAAGCATTGAACCATTTAGAAACAAAATATTATGTAGAACATTATCGTGTGTTGGCCATCTGCGTTGAAATACTTTACATAGCACAAAATATTTAGGGTTACAATACAAACAGGATAAAAAATAAATAAAAAACATGCGAGAATTTAAAATTTGACAAATATTTTTTTATTGTTGTAACATTTATATTGGACTGGCATGAATTAATCGTATTACGTTGGTCCATTTGTTTTTGTTTATTTGACGTAAATTATATATACACATATGAATTTGCAACACCCTCAGTTCCAATAATTTATTAATATTGTAGAGCAGCAATTAGGGACGAGTCCAATAAAAACATTAAAATGTACGTTTACGAGATAACTGAGTAGATGGATATTATGAAGCTTTTGGTAAAAATGATTTAATAAAGTTTGAGTTTCATGAATAATGTTTTTCGGCTTTTACAATTATTAATTATTAAATCTGTCGAAAATAAAATTACAAAGGTGCTATATTATGTTGAAATCTTTCGGCATCCGTGAAAAATTAAAAATGTCTGATGTTCATATATCTCTGTTCTATGAGAGGTGAAAACATCACCGAATTTATTTTTTAGGTATTTATAAATGTCGAATAATGACTTTATTGTATTTTCTAAATATGCATATTAAATTATATATTATATCATATTATATTCTGCCATCTTCTACTTAAATACAATTATTATATTGAAAAATAAACAAACAATTTTAAAAACTCTTACTAAGGTTTGTAAAATAACATGCATTTTATAATTGAAAAAAAAATAATATTGCAAAACGTTTGTATTGGTCATTGCAATATTCTGTTATTAAAATGCAGATATATGTTTATGTATGTATGTGTTATTTCAGAATCTAATGATTGGTTTCAAAAAAAGAAAAAATAACTTGTTTTACTTAATTTCCTTTCTTAATTATTAAAAATGTCATGATATAATGGAATGAAATTGAATAAATTAATTTAAGATAATTATTTTACAATACTTTGTAATATACTTAAAATTATTGAATAGTATTTATAAGGTTGCGTTTTCATAAATCAGGATTAAATATGATTTTATCAAATGAAGAACATTTACAATTTTGATTGAAGAATTATTTGATATTTTATATTTTAATGAAATTCAAACAACTTTTACAGCTGTATTTTATGAGATAGTCTGTAATGATATACGTAATAAAATAATCTTTAATAAAGTATTAATCTAACTTAATTGTTAAGTTACTCGCTTCTTAATTTTAAAAAATATATGTAATTTTTTAATTATTATTGTTATTGTTTATCAGTGTATTTCATGTGTATATTCAATATTTTATTTATTTTTTATAATTCATAACAATAATTGACTGTCGTGATAAGGACGATATAATTGGTTTATTAATTATTTTAATCTGAAATATACCTACTAATATATCTCATTTTACAACCAACAATAATAAGTGATAAAATTATGAATAGTTTTTTATAATCTTTTTTTATTAAAATTGTATAAAAATATTTTTATTTTTAAGTAAATTTTAAATCATTATAAATTTATGAATGTTAAGTTATTACCCCGGATAACAATAATAGCATTCAACGATATGAGACGTGGTTAGAATTTACAAGTTGGGAAAAGGGTATACATTTGAATGCACTTAATTTATTACATTTTCAAGTTAAAATCAACTATCATCCATAAAATCGCTTGCTTTGCTTGGTATTAATACCATAAATAAAATAAATAAATTATAAATTATAATTAATGCATTCTTACAAAATGATTAGACGTACTAATGAAGTAAGATAAAGAAGTTTTTTTAGTATTATTATAGATAAAATTTACTATATTTAAGTATTTATTTTAATTTTAACTTCAATTTTGAGTTTTTTGATATTTCATATGGTTGGTACTACTTAGAAAATATAATACCTCTTTTTCATGGACAGATGGTTAATAATTTAAAAGTGTTTAGATTTTAATATATATACATTTTACAAAGATAACTAAAAGATAACTAAAACCAAACCAATGATTCTATTGCATACTCAATTTTATAATTTTGATTAGTACATCATGCAAGTATTTTTTCTTTAGTTTAGTTATCAAATTTACTAACAAGAAAAAAACATTTATAATATAAGAATATGAAATCCTTGTATAATTCTTACTGCCTTCATCCTTGTACAAAATAATGATAATAATAAAATCATAATTTTTCAGTAGATATCCATTGGAGAACCTCTTTACATAATAATAACTTTCATCTAAAGTTTTTTGCATATAATTTAGAGTTGGTCATATATTTCTTCAATTTTTTTAGAATGATATTTTTAAAATAGTTTTATTAAAACAATAATGTTATACTTCTTCAACCTTGTAAACAATCTAACGCAGCATTTATTTGTTACGTATGGTTACTTACACTCTACTATAGCGGACATTTCGTGTATATTGTGTAATCTATAAATATTTTTATGTATAGGTTTTATAGTATAGCTCATTGGTCACTTCCATAACACCTTTGCGTTTTGAAAGTTTCAAAAGAGATTGAAAAAAAACTGTCACCGTACATTTCCGCCTGTTTTTACGGCTATATTATGATAAACAGTGAACTCACAGGAAGAGGAAAACAATAAAAGCAAGGGAAAAAAGTGCTCTTGCAATAAGTTATTCGCTACGTACAAGAAGTTTTCTAAGTCGCAGGGAGAAAAGGACCTAAGAAAAAAAAACCATGTTATTATTAAAAGCATGGAAAATGTCGTAAAAACTGGTCGCGTCAAGATTAAAAAACTTAGAACTTATCTCTTGAGTGTACACGTCAACTATAGCCAAAGACAAGGAAATGCGTTGAGAAATATACTTCATTCTTTTTTTTTTTCGTAACCTCTGATTTTTATAAATATAAATCAATTGAATTCTTTTGATAAAAAAGCATTTTTTAAAAAAAGAAAATGTCGTATAAAATTTCTTTGCTTTTTGTTAAATATTAGTTATACATCAGGTGTTTTTGTTATGATGAAAATTCACGTTAACTTTACATCCATTTCCATAGAAACAACTTCATCAGCTGTCAACTGCTATATAGTATATATTTGTTACTTTTACATTAATATAATGTAAGAAAAAAATACTTGCTGGTTGTAGTTTTATTTTTGGGTAAAAAGTGATTTTAAATTGTTCCGAAGTTTTCTTTCGATTTGACAATTAGAAACAATTGTGTTTAAAATGTTTAAATTATATACATACCGAGATAAGTTTTGAATTTTTAAAGTAGTATAGCTATTTAAAAAATTGCTAAATTAATATGAAACTATTACAAATCCATCATATATTTATTTGGTGCTTTCGTGATTCGACAAAAACATGTTTAAAGTATTTCATTGCAGTTTAGAAAATAATTTAAGATACATAACTATTTATCTTACAAATTTATGTCTGTGATTTTTTTTTTAAATGTATAATTTTGTGTTTAATATTTTAATGTAAGTGTTTAAAAATATATTAATATTTTTTAAATAATTTTAGGATCGAAAACATAGTAATTATTTATATTATATGTTGAAACTTGTAAATGCTTCCTACACAAACTACCTACTGTACCTACTGTTGGATTTCATTAGACAATCATTTTTAAGTGAATATTATTGACTTAGTACTTAATTCTTACATAAAAATATGTCATGTTTCTGGATAATTCTGAACTAATCAATCGTTAATTATATCTTATGTTAATATAAAATTTAGAAATACTCAAAAATATCAATTGAAAATAAAACTTTTACTTTTAAAATTTTTTTCAATTAAAAAAAAATTAAATGTTCTTACTTTTGTTGATCCCATGCATATATTCAAATATAGACTACTACAGTTTGTGTAGCTAACATCGTCTTCCAGTGGATAATTTATGTGTGCATGTAATGCAATAAAATTCTTTTGTTCTAACCTAAGCTTTTTTTTATACTTTAAAAATAATTATTATGAGAAAATAAAGATACAGATAACCCCTGGGATGAAAAAGTGGGCAAAAGTAATTGTTCAAGCTTTTTACTGTTTTTTATTTTTCATATTTTTTTCATTATTTGCCTAGGGTGTTTTAATAAATGCGTAGGTCTTTTGTCGTTTTTACTAAATTTTAATTATTAAAAATCTCATCATCGTGG